AAAGAACTACCTAAGAAAGGTCAACAGGTGCTCTTGAAAGATTTAAGCCCTTGAACTCAGCATTATGCCTCAGAACATCTGAGTAAAACGAGCTCTTGCTTTCTGCCTGAACACTGCTTAGGGTGGGGGTAACATCTTGTTTAAAACGATTTGTAAATGTTTCTTTCAGGTTAAGTTCTTACCATTTAATGTAGTTACCCTCTGTGCAACTGAGAATGACCCTGAACAGTGAGGGGTGGAATGAGGTCTCTCTGCATCACCTTCAGTTTTGCTGCTGCTGTTATTTGGCAGCTTTTGCACTTGCAGAAATTAACCTGAGACAGTTTCTTAAAACACTAGTGTCCTGGTTTCGGCTGGGATAGAGTCAATTTTCTTCCTAGTAGCTGGTGCAGTGCTGTGTTTTGGATTTAGTGTGAGAACAGTGATGATAACACAGTGATGTTTTTCGTTTTGCTGAGCAGCGCTTATCCTAAGTTAAGGACTTTTCAGTTTCCCATGCTCTGCCAGCGAGGAGGTGCACAAGAAGCTGGGAGGGAGCATGGCCAGGACAGCTGACCCGAACTAGCCAAAGGGATATTCCGTACCATAAGGCATCATGCCCAGTATGTACACTGGGAGAAGCTGGCCAGGAGGGGCCAATCACTGCTCAGGTATGGGTCAGCAGGTGGTGAGCAATTGCATTGTGCATCACTTCTCTGTCTTGGGTCTTATTTTACTCTTTTTATTATCTTCCTTTTCATTGCAATTATTATTAATATTATATTTTATTTTTATTTCAATTATTAAACTGTTCTTACCTCAAGCCCCAAGTTTTACTTGTTTTTGATTCTCCTCCCCATCGCACTGGTGGGGTGGAGTGAGCGAGCAGCTGCATGGTGCCAAGTTGCTGGCTGGGGTTAAACCACAACAACTAAATACAAGTAACTGCAAGTTTTATAAATGTGAAACTTCATCCCAATGGAAGGATCATTCCACTTAGGCAGGCTGAACAACAGTCAGATGCAGTAAGTGACCCTGAAATGGCTCCTGCTCCTTAGCAGATTGATTGATACGACAGTGAAATAATTTACATTGTTAGTTTTTGTCCTAAATGTGTCCAACTGCAGTTGAAGCATTTTGATTTTTCCTCTGGGCACAAGGAGTATTTCACAAACAAGTAAGAGAAAGTAATTTAGAAAGCAACGAACCTGTACTCCGAAGGCTGAGGTTCAGATTTCTTACTCCTGATTGAGCTTAAGAATATTTTTGGATACAGGCAGCACAGCAGAGCTGTCTGTCCCTGTACAGCAGAGCCATCATCGCTGTGCTGCACTCCCCAGCAGCTCCAAACTCAATCACAGCAAGGGAACAGAGCAGAGATTCTTCATGGTGAGAGCATGGGCAACCCAATGAGTCACGGGAACGAGCACTGGCAAGAGACCGGCTGCAGGCACAAACAAGTAGCTCAGATTTCATGAAATGAAAGGCAGAAAACAGCCAAGAGACTTTCCAGTATTTACTACAGTAATTTGCTGGGGAGTGATATCAGTAGTCTGACTATTTTCCACCTGTATCTGCTAACAGAACCAGGCATTCTTCTATCGGTTCAGGGCAACTACAGGAAAATACAAAAATCACAGTAATATAATCCATAATCCGCTTCCACTTAAACATTAACCAGCAACTATGATAACCACCGTTTCATTTGCATTGAGAGATAAGCTAAAGTGCATCCCCCAGGAGGGAAAGCCCCAAGTAAATACAAGGTTTCTGCACGTCATTTTCATAATCTGCCTGCTAGAGAATTTAAAAGACATGCTGCAAACTCAATGCTCACTAATCCACTCACCCACTTTGTTAAACTTTATTTTAAACTGAGTAACATTGCTTGACCCTCACAGACTACTCATTAGCTAAGGGAAGTTCAGCTGCATCAGACCTGAAAGGAGAACAGTCTTAACCACAGTTTAGGTGCAGAAGGTAAAATTAGTAGGCTTCAATTAAAACCTTCAGAAGAGAGGCTTTTCCCCTTCCTTTAGTATTTCCAGCAAACAAACTATGAAGTACTGGTAAAGAGCACGCAAAATGTGAACTCAGCTAAAGCAGGTAAGTATTTATTTCTTCAATATGCCACCTTTTACAAAGCAGATGCTGACTGCAGAGCCTTGCAAGACAGACACTGCAGGCACTGCTGTGGCTTTCATTCCATTGGATTTGGAAAGTTTATCAAAGAAGAGCAGGTTGAGTCTGCCACAAACAAAAAAAGTACATAAAATATAGAGACTGACCATATTTAATCACTATTTTAAGATCTTAAAACAGTGTAGAAGCTCCAGGAAAAGTACTAAGTTACTCTCCGGTTTGACACTGCAAGAAGTCTTGTCCCCAGTGGTGGTTTGGCAGGGCCCAGGACCAAGCCCTGCAGCGCTGGGGCTGGGCTGCCCGGCACCCTGACACACATGAAGGGTCCTCCAGCCTCTTCCAGTAGCTCAGCTGACACTGGTCCAACAAAAGCCAAACTTTGCAACACTCTCGGTCATCCTTGTTTTAAAGTTACTCAAACGCGTAAATTGCTTCTAAATCCATAACTACATTTATTTCCAATTTAGTCTTAAATCACCTTCTGTATGCTTATACTCCCAGTTTATCAATCCCTACTGACAGTTAATAAACTTGCTAAAATGTTTGTCAAGATAAAAACCAGCCACCCTGTTTTCTGCCATCCTTGAAGGCCGACAGTGAAAGAAAATTAAACACATAGGCTTGAAGCCACACCATATATTTGTAAATAAAATAATTTGACAGAACAAGATTACAAAGTACGAAACGAGCCCTTTCAGGAACTTGTAAGTACAAGAGAAGTCGATGTTAAGTCCATTTTGTAAAGTTTTAAGCAAATACCACTGAGGGATAGGAGTATTACCATAAAACACTTTCTTTTTTTAATGCCTTCTCAAAAAGCTTGGACCATATACATCAATTTCAGGTGAAAAGTCCCACACGCGCGCATTGATTTGGTTACAGCTTCAGGGATCAGTGCGGCACAGTGCAAGTTTCATTCACAGATAAAAAAGATATTTGAAGTAGGTACAAGAACATTCTTCAAAATACAGGGTGCGATCGAACTCTCAGCAACCCTCTCTCCACCCCCTAAAAAGTGCTGAAAAGTAAGCACAACATACAGAAGCACACGGAAAAGTACACAAGGAGATGGACTCTTTAACAAGACAAGTTAATATTTGACAGCTTGAGGAAGAGGAAACAATTGCATCAGGAAGAAAATTGTAGTCATTAGAAGGTATGTACAAGGGAGGTTTGTACTTCGATTCTGCAGGAAAACTGAAGCTGACAAGCCTCCATTTCTGAAATATAAATACTGAGTAAGAGGTACAAAAATTAAGCACTATTAACTCTAAGTGCCTTCTCAGAACAGCCCGTTTTGCCCTGCTACAGGTCACCATTCGCTCATCTTTCAAGGAGTAAGTATATGTAACTACTGATCTCAGCTAGTCTTTCAGTATACACAACTGTTCATTGCCTATCTGGCAATTTTACAGAATCTTCCTGGTCCCTAGTCTCCATCAGAAAGTGTTTTCCCCTTTTTATGATTATTTCAAAGTAGATCAAATACTCTCCAGTGCTTTTTAAAAAAAAACACACACTTATTTTTAGAAATTCCCCAAGCTAAAAATATTAACACAATTTTTCACCTGAAGCAATGTCTCTCAGACCATTAACGCAGAGTGCCTCCCTAAAGAGGCTAAGTGCATCTTTAGCTACCAGAAATCTCACAGAGGGCTACAGCTTTGAAGTGCTCTGCTAATTTTTATTTAAAAAAATGATGACTGACGTTTACAGCGTACAGAATGGGAGACTAGTGCAATATGCAGCATTGATTGTTTATTCAATAAATATTTAACCCAATTATTGCCAACCAAGGCAAACAGTGCAGAAATTGTCACTTAGATACAAAAGTTTAATTTTCTTTGTATAAAGTCAGTTGCTACTATACTCACACAACTATTTCAAAGAGGGTTTTTTGCTTCAAAATTGACGCTACCATTATAAAAATATAGAAACATAGTATTTGGGGGGGTTAACATGTCTTTGCAAGTCTAACTTTTACATTTATATGGGAACATAACATTTCTGTATTCAAGAACTTATTAAAAATAAGAGACATTTTCTGCACTGATGATTTCATTATAGTTCTTAAATACATCTTTCTTGGTCCTGCATATACATTGAGAATGAAGTAACTTGCATCTCACATTTATCCTGAGGTCAGCTGTGTAAAAAGGAAAGCCAATTTTATAAGGATACTTGTAGGCTTTTTGTTCAAAGCACAAGGTTATTTTTAAACAGGCCAATAAAACTCCTGGGGGGAAAAAAGAAAACAAAACCACAACACAACCTTCTCACCGCTGTTTTAAGAAACAATGTAGTGTCATTTTTGGGAATTACTTCCAAAAATATATAGGCTATCACATCCAAATGCTGTATCACCCAACTAAAATTTCAGTATGCATTTGCCAAACCTGAAACTTAGAAACTATTCTGAAAAGAAAATGCAAAAATCCCCGTGAAGAGTCACCCTAAGCTTGTCATCTCAAGATCCCGACCCGCAATACAGCTCCTGCAAGGAGAACCCCGCTGAAGCCTGTGGGAATCCGCAGTCTTTGGGTCTGCCTGCACAGGTGAGGACGTGTGATTCGGGTCCCCGTCACCCACTGAGGGGTACAGTTATGACCTTGTCAAAGCTCCACTTTGAACACAGCAGTTATTTTCAATAGCACCAACAATCTCTCAGATACCAGCATCAGGCAAATACAGACAACAGAGAATAGGTTTGTTTCTTCCTGAATCAGCACAATTGGTACAAGGCACTGCTCGGCATAGGAAGTCATAAATAAGAGCAAACAAGACAATTTCCAAGTTTTGTGACATTGAAGTTTGTAAGTCATGTCACATTTCAACTTATTATATAACATGGTTAGAAAAATAAGATGGTCTAAGGGATTAACCAAAACATCACTGTTCCATGCATGCTTACAGTTTTCCTCCCCATACCCGAAAAAACCCACATACCAACCAATACGAAGCATTAGGAAGTATGGGTTGTTAAATTAAGAAAGTATATTTTATCCTCCAATCTTCCACAGAAGTCTAACCTAGACACAAATCAAGTACAAGAAGTCGGAAAATATTCTGATAACATTTGCAACAGTCTATCCCTGCAGACAAGTGAAAAAACTATTGTCTTGAGAATCCATAGATTGAGGCACATTGCAATTGAAGATATTCAGGCGTATTTTATGGCTAGAAAAGGATTTTTCTGAGGAACCTCACTACAGACTTCCCCAAAAGCAGCTCCATATGGTTTGAAACACAAATTGCAACACATGGAAAAAACGTCTGGGCCTTAATCACTACTGTCTTCATCGTCATCGTCATCAGATACGTCATTTAAAGACGATTTAGGTGACTGGCTGTAGGAGTCTGACCTAGTGGACTGACAAGCAGTCATCTCCCCGGTAGAAAGAAGATCATAGCAGAAGTCGCAAATTCGCACAGGCTTGGAAGACTGGCTCGGGAGAAGAAACCTCTTCTCCGAGCAAGGCCCGCACACAACAAAGCCGCACTTGCGACAGTGGTGACGACGGTTGACGGGCGTGAATTTTGCCTTCTGACAGCGCATGCACACAGTGGCTTCCGAGTCTGGTACCCAGACAGCTGCATGTTCATTGCTAGGAGTCTTCCCGCTCTTGGAAAGCAAATCAGAAACACACTTATTTATGTGGTTCATCCACTCAGACTTCTCTGTAGCGGTGGCAGCATAAACCGCAAAAGACTTTGTCGGTGTCTTGATAAGCCACCCATTCCGTAAGTCTCCCTCATCCTGGATGGAATCAATAGTGACGTTTTCCAGTGGGATTATGTGCTGTTTATTGTATTTCTTCTTCTGAATGACAATGTTTCCGTAAACAAGGATGTCATTGAACAGGAAGAACTGCCTTGCTTTGGGCTTCTTCCTACACAGCTTTGTTAGGACTCCCTCTCCAATCAGAACGCGGCCAGGAATAGTCAGAGGTTGACCAGCTGCTCCAAAGCAGTTTTCCACTATACTTATTCTTCTAGTATTTGCCTCACTGTTTGCCAAGCGATCCACCATCTTTCACAAGTATCCTAAAATTAGAAAAAAAAAAGTTTGTTGTTAGAAGAGGACTGATTCAGCAGCAGCCTTCCCCAAGAAAGCTACCAACCCCGCATTTCTTAAAATATCTAACAGAACCCACTGGCTCAGAGGCACCGACTTGGGCTAGATTTAAATAAGTATTAACACCTAAGAATTTTTAGCATCTGATTAGTCTTTTTTTCAAAAGCAAAAATGTTCCATTCAGCTGACAGCTATCTTTATCACACAGACAGCAACTACAGCACTGCTCTTGAGAGCCTCTGGCAACAGACTAGGAGGCTTCCTCTCTAGTCAGGCTACTGCATCCTGGTTTAATGCTCATATTTCCCTGCATATCCTCCAGGACCTACTCTCTGGATGGCAAAAGAAAGAATCATCCATCATTCCAAATTCTGACAGAAACATCAACTTAACTGAGCAGCTTGGAGACCCGTGTTACTGTTAAGACGACAAACAAAAATTGCATCATTGACGTTCACACAGGTAACCACCCTATCCAAGCTCAGTACTGCTCTTTTTTCAGTACGCAAACCTCAAATCATGGGCCATACTCATCAATCTTACCTAGTAGAAACATTTTGTACAGGCCACAGCTTGCACCCCACCACCTGCTTTCATGGCAAGCTCTTGAGCCAGAGGCAGGGAGTGAGTCACAGCTGGTGGCCCATCACCCGCTTGCTGCTGCCTTCTTTTTGTAGGGGCCCTACAGTCCCTCCCTCCTCACCTACTCAAACCACCTCTGCACCCACCGTGACCAGGCGACGCACACAGGCAGACCAGCACAGAGGACAAGCCACACAGCTCACAACTCCTCCCGAGAAAGACTAAGTGACCTGCAGCGGCTGAAAGTTTAGGCAAGAAGGCTTTGTATTTCAGGAAGTGCTGATGAACTAAAGAGTACATACATTCCAATTACAGATTAAAACCATCCCTCATCCTTCCCCAAGTAGCAAATAACATTTTCTTTTGTAAGAGAAAGGCATCCAATGCAGAACTGAAAATAAGAAGTCACTATAGTGATTCATACCTCAGCAACCTCTTTAGCCTGTCTTTTACCCTAGAGCTTCCCGGGCAGAAGCCAGGCAAAGGAAACTGCTGCCAATCTGACCCAGATCTGCTCCTCCCAAGCTCCTCCTCAGTATGGCCATGAGCCTGAACCATGAGCTCGACAGAGCAGTGAGACAGCTGGCAGAGGTGAGTACAAAGGACAGACCTGTCTCTCAGCGCACAGATGGCTCTCCTATGCCTTTCTTTCCAGATACCACAGGGCTGATACTCACAACACCCTTTGGTACAACCGCTGCTTTGAAGAGGCCTGAGGGAGATCAGAGTACCAAATACTCCAGTGCCTACTTCCTGCACTTCCCAACACAATCCCCATTTGGAAAGTCCTTTACATTCACCTGCCTTTTCTTTTCGATCTACACTGCCTGCCATCAATACAGTCTCAGTCTGTAACCGAGATGAAACTGGGCTGAAACAAGGCTCAGACTTCATGCTGCTCAGACTCCCTTACTCTGCCATAACCTGTTCCAGGCAATCTTCTTCCTACGAATCAAAGCTCAGATACTTCCTTACAAAACAGGGATGAAACTTCTTGATAGAGATCTGGTGGCAGAGAAACCTCTCATCAGGCCTCATCTAAATAAGTATGCTACTTGTGATTACACAAATCCACAGGCCCAATGTTAAGTGTGATTTAAAAATAACACATTAACGCTTCAAGAGTTTAATTAGTTCTACCCTAAAATAGTTTTACAAGTGGGCTTGCTCAGATGTAACTAAACTGACCTTTTTTTTTCTTAAGCTCTGCACATGACATCACCTTGTATCAATGTCTGACATTGAAGAAAGAACAATCTATTGAAGATAGTACTCAGCGCTACTTTTTCATTTTCTTTATGTGCCTTACAGCATTATTTACAATATGTGAGTATTGTGTTAACCAGTTTTAAGGTTAGTAGAATTACAAAGCCACAAAATCTGAAATTATTTTGATCTGCAGAAGGTCAGGACAAACCACAAACTGCCTTATAAAAAAAGAATTCAAGAGATTTAACTGTGCTGCATCAAGGCACACAAGCAAGTACACCTATGCTAGTTCCACCAGGTATCTCCCAAAAAAAGGCTGACTTCCTCCATTACCCTGTTTAGTAGCTCCCTATTTGATCAGTTATAGAAAGCATTTTCTTAACAGCAAGCTTCAGTCATCTTTGCTGCAAAACAAACATTTATTTTTGTTCTTCAATCAAACTAGCCATCACTACCACCTTCTTTATTAAGCTGAGGACTGAAATGCTCATCACCTATCTCCAGAAAGAAGACTGAAAATCCACCCAGAAAAAAAAACAAACCACAAGAAACCCCATTATTTCTGTCTCCTTCACCAGCCCTACTTTTCTGAACCATTACTCTTGCCAAAGTTCTGAAAGTTTTCTCCATCATTCCCTTGAAGATATGCCCACAAGTGTACACTGTACTAAATCCCCAAATCCTTCAGCAACATCAAACTTAGCTGATATGGTTCTGCTTTGTTTCCTTCTGTGGCAATACCAATTTACACTATCTGCCCCCACTCCCTGCTCCCTTCTGCCATTACAAAAAGCTACACAGTGAATTAGATCAGGGCTGATCAAGTTGAGAACAAACTGGAGAGTTTTAGGGCTCTGGTTGGCAGGATAGCTGCAGTAGAGGGAGACGATGGAGGGGTGGGAAGGGAGGTGCTTAAATAGTGTTCTGCATAGAAAGTATACTGGCTTAATTTCTCCCAGAGAACAGCAGAAAATTCAAATTACATCAATATGATTCATTTTTTTAATGCTATGACTATACAAGCATTTCAATACACACCTTATTTCTTTCAGGCGTTCCAAGCACCAATACTAACTTATACACACAACACCCACCCATTACATGTTTTACTCAGTATTAAGATTTAGCCACTTCGC